GACCGGTTTACTAGGTCTACACAACTACTAGGTGGGTCCGGGGTAAAATTTGGGTAAAATTTGAGGGGTAAAATTTGAGCCTCTGAAACAGCATTTCCGAAAGCATACAGAAATAGCATACAGTTATAACTTTAAACTATATAATGTTTGTGTGATGTTACTCTGAGTGTATATCCACACCGGGCAGGCTTGAAAAATATGCCTCGCCACGGCGGGATTCGAACCTACGACCTTTGGAATACTAGCCCAGTGCTCCTCCAACTGAGTACATTACACCAACACAGTAGCCTGCGAACAGGCTCTCAAGCTGAATTGAGAGCCTGCATCGATGACTAATGAATTTGAATATCTGCGTCTCAAATCGTGACGCGAAATTCTCATTGGTCAGATGCTATAATTTATATGTTTCCGCTGAGCTCTATATATGTCAACTGCTGAAGCACTGTGCATAAAAAACACATTAACTGGTCAAATTGGTCTTGGCCGTCTTATCTCAAAGCACGAAATGTTCTGTTTTGAGAAAACAGTATTTAAAACATTTGAACTTTTGCTTGAATATCTTATATTTCGAAAAACAGTATAAACTGTACGGTCTAAATTTAGTTTGCACGGTCTAAATTTATTTTGCACGAAAGTTGTAAGCAACACCATATAAGGATAGACATTCCATATTTGGAAAAACGAACGTTACGGGGCAGATATTCAAATTCATTAGTCATCGATGCAGGCTCTCAATTCAGCTTGAGAGCCTGTTCGCAGGCTACCAACACAGCAGATTTCATGATTATTAGATTACACTGATATCGAAGGAACTAGACTCAGTTCCGAAATATCGCATACTCGAACCGTCCTGACCGCGTAGCTCAGTTGGAGGAGCACTGGGCTAGTATTCCAAAGGTCGTAGGTTCGAATCCCGCCGTTGCCAGGCATATTTTTCAAGCCTGCCCGGTGTGGATATACACTCAGAGTAACATCACACAAACATCTTATTCACCTGAGTACATTACACCAACACCGCAGATTTCATGATTATTAGATTACACTGATATCGAAGGAACTAGACTCAGTTCCGAAATATCGCATACTCGAACCGTCCTGACCGCGTAGCTCAGTTGGAGGAGCACTGGGCTAGTATTCCAAAGGTCGTAGGTTCGAATCCCGCCGTGGCCAGGCATATTTTTCAAGCCTGCCCAGTGTGGATATACACTCAGAGTAACATCACACAAACATCTTATTCACCTGAGTACATTACACCAACACAGCAGATTTTAGACTATATACTTTTACAAACCTTCAAAATGAACAAGAAATCCATATAAATGCTTCTATCGCCAACGCAATGATTCAGTCACGCAAAATTATAAACATATTTCGCGCGTCCTCGAGTTCTGTTAACTTTCATGCCAAGTTTTCTCTCAATACCGCTCGTCTCACAGGTTTATGACCGGTTTACATCTGGCGGAGAGCAGCCGTTTAGCCAATCGAGTGGTGTATCGACCGGTTTACTCTCATGGAGAAAACTCTGACCACCGGTTTACTCATAATTGCGGGCGGTTATGTCTGATTCATGCGATGTTTACAAGTCCACGACCCACGACGATGTATTAGCAGATTATAAGTCTAGTATTACAACATTTCGTAACAGGAAACCAACGCGATAAGTCCTTAATTATACGCTCGGTAGTCTTTAATCATATTTCAACAACCGTATTTAAGTGGCGTAATAGATTAGACAACATCAATTTTATGAAACTGAATATTCTTTAAATTAGTTATATACATGGAAGGATATATATTTTCTCTCTTTGGAAAATTTGACAGGTTTATATAAACCTGTCAAACCTGTCTCAATCCGCCCCTCGTTTTAAACAATGACTTTAATACCAGTTAATTACACAATGTTCTGTTGTTGAGATAGCTCGATTTTCGATAGGGATTGAGGTTAAGGTTTGATAGGTATTGGTAGATAGATTGGTATGATTGATGTAGAAAGAATATGGAATATGGGTTCGAACTATACAATTAGGAAAAGAATTAACAGATTACGGCATGCGCACAAACTAACGTAAGCCTATACATGAATACTAGTTAACATGCTACGCGATTGAAGACTAGACTAGACTAGACTAGACTAGACTAGACTAGACTAGACTAGACTAGACTAGACTAGACTAGACTAGACTAGACTAGACTAGACTAGACTAGACTAGACTAGACTAGACTAGACTAGACTAGAGAACTGACTATGATAACAAGATAAATGTAACTTACTTTGGTCGGCGCAAACCAAACATGAATAAATAATAGATAATTCGCCCGTATGAATTCACAATATATATTGTTTAGCGCTCTCGTTTTGCTTAGTTAACAATATTGAAACCTGAAACAATAAACTAACAGCCCTAATAATGTGCATGCATTACGTGACTATGGAAATGGCGACATGTCAAAACTTCTAAAGTACGTTTCAAACCTACATTGTAGGCCTTATACAGTTATACTGCCGACAGGATCGGCTGATAGCCGTATCAGCTGATAGCCGTATCAGCTGGCTGGTAGCCGCGATGTATTGTAGTATGCTATAGTATACTACAATACGTCACGGCTACCAGCCAGCAATACGGCTATCAGTCGATTCTGTCTGCAGTATACTACCGGGTATCCCAAAAAAAATTGCGCTGTTTGATTTAATGTAACATAAAAACTATAAGAGCTATTGCACTCAAATAAGTTATATTGTATTCAGAAAAGGTTAATTTAGATTTTGACATATAACATTTGAATATCCGTGCAATATTTACTGAGCTATCGATGTTTTAAATCGAATAAGCATATTTAACAATGTTAAAAATTTACATAAAATTGCCTATCAAATTTTATTTGGTTAAAGTTGATTATATAGTTTTATTGTGCCCAAAAGAACGAGTGAAAAACATAATTGTTGGATAAACATTTATTCATTCATCATAGAAAGTATGTCCCCTTGCACGTATACAATGTCTTGCACGGGAAACCATATAACCCAAACTCTTTTATCTTTTGTTAATCGAGGCATATTCGAAAGTCCAACGACGACTAACTTTATAATACAAACCGGTCAGTATAATCTGCAGACTGCGGACTGCAGACTGCAGACCGGACTGGGTACAAAATGCAGACTGGGGGTATAAAATGCAGACTGAGGATAAAACGCAGACTGGGGGTGAATTAGGGATATTTTACAAATTCCCGCCAAGCCATAGTCACGTGATCGTTCTTGTTGATAAATGATAATATTAATGTTGAAGCTAGTCACTTTCATCAAAATGGACGAAGATAGCGATGTAGAGGTATTGATATTATATGAATATTTATATTATTATATTTTGTGTTCAATATATAGACCACAGTAAGACTTTTTTTAAATGTTTATTTCATTAACAAACGACGTTTCGGAGATTTACTCCATCTTCAGGTAGGATTACAATTTGAATTTAAACTAACATGCGCATGCATAAACGTTAAAATTGCGACCGTTATTCGCGCGTGCGAAATTGCGTAAGCATATAAATTACGTGCACGTGTCCGATTAATTCTAATAAAAATTAGAAATTGTTAATTCTGTCTTTAATGTTTAAACTACGAAATCTAAGACATTTAACTGTTCGTATTTTCCATTCAAGTCTGGAATTAAGCTTTTGGATGAATAAATGCTTCGGTAATTTTCCGTTCTACAGATCCTTTTGTTCTTTTTAAAATCTTAACAGACAGTTTAGGTTTTTGTCCATAATGTTGGTCGAGGTGGTGTTTCGAGAAAGCCATGTTTTTATAGGACTTTGCTTTCGGGTTTGCTGCGGAACGAAAATGTTCTTGGTATCGAACCACCAATGGTCTGCCTGTCTCGCCTACGTACGTTGCTCCACAAAGGTCACAGTTGATTTGATACACGACATCTTTCTGTGTACACTGAACGGGAGCATTTGAGAGACTTGAATGGAAAATACGAACAGTTAAATGTCTTAGATTTCGTAGTTTAAACATTAAAGACAGAATTAACAATTTCTAATTTTTATTAGAATTAATCGGACACGTGCACGTCATTTATATGCTTACGCAATTTCGCACGCGCGAATAACGGTCGCAATTTTAACGTTTATGCATGCGCATGTTTTTGTTTTTTTTTCAAATATATTTATTGAGAACATTACATTATATAATTAATATTATATATAATTATATATAATTAATATTATGTATAATTAATATGAACTCAAATGGCATAAGCACAAACGAGACGCGAAGTCCCATGCAAGGTGCAAACCCCGAAGCAGCGAATACGTACATAAATATAAATACACACATACATAAAATACAAATATATAAAAGCCGCTTCCCCCTATTAGTATGACCATGAACGCAACCACCTGAATGCTTCACGGATGTGTTAGCAAAATAATTTCAAACTCACAAGCATAATGAATGCTCACGGATGTATTGCAGGCATAATAATTTCAAACTCACAAGCATAATGAATGCTTCACGGATGTGTTAGCATAATAATTTCAAACTCACAAGCATAATGTGGTTGCATTCAGTGAACACAATAAGAGGAACCGTCTATCAAAACTATACTTAAGATCTGTGGCAGGGGCAGTCCCGCACCAGTGTCCAGGTGCATGGCATGTCCACGTCAAATGTTGCCGTAAGCAAGTTAGCGTAAGTGGCTTTAAGAGATCTTTTGAAGATGGAGAGGCTGGCAAAGGTGGTAGAGGGAAGAATTTTGCAGACGTGGTTCCATAACTTGACAAGCCGGTTGAAATATGAGGATTGAAATGTTTTGGATTTACAGAAAGGAATTTTGAGTGTGAGAGAAGGATTTCGACTAAGTCGTGTTCGGCCATTGTTGACAAATGAAACGAAACTATGCACGTCAAGATCAATATGTCCATACAGTGCTTTAAAAAAGAACACTAAGTCTTTTATTTCTCTCTCGTAGCACAGGGGTAATAAGCCAAGGGTTATCAGCCGCTGCTTATATGCAATTTCTCCGCGCTTGGCTTGCAGTATCCAAGAGGTGGCTCTCCTTTGTACACGTTCCACTGCATGGATCTCATTTTGATGGCAGGAGGAGACCAGACTTCGGTGGCGTAACTTATCTGGGACTTCACGAGTGACAAGTACAGCGTCCGCCTCACTGCGGTGTTAGTCAGTAGAGGGTAAGTTCCTTTCAGCATGCCAAGCATCTTGTTCCCTTTGGCGGTGATGGTATGAACATGATCGTCCCATGAGAGGTTGTAATTTATGAAGACACCAAGATCTTTTTCCTTATTCACACGAGTAAGTTCCTTTGAGCCCATGTGATATGCGTACGTCAGCGGGGTTTTTTTCCTTGTAATTGTCAACACCTTACACTTCGACTCGTTAAAATTGAGGTTGTTGTCACGGCTCCAGCAGTCAAGGTCTGTTAAAGCTTGTTGCAAACTTTCACAGTCACCTACTGATGTGATGGACTTGTACAGTTTGGTGTCGTCTGCATACAAAGCTGCCAAAGTCTCGTCAGGTAATATGTCGGGAAGATCGTTTATGAATATCACAAACAGAATAGGACCCAGGAGACTGCCTTGCGGCACTCCAGATGTAACTGGCACCCAATTAGATGTAGCTCCATCAATCACAACCCTTTGACGACGACCACTGAGATAGTCCGCGAACCATTCATATAAATGACCTGACACACCGTATGACGCAAGCTTGTGGAGGAGAATTTGGTGATCGACAGAGTCAAAAGCTTTCGCAAAGTCGAGGTAGATAACGTCAGTTTGAACGTTTTTGTCAAGGGATTGCCCGATGGCGTGTAGTACCGATAGTAGTTGACTAACGCAAGATCGCCGTCTAAGGAAGCCATGTTGTGCTTTTGTGACGAGGTGCCTGATATGATTATATAGTCTGATGCACACGCAACGCTCTAGTACTTTGCCAACGATGGGCAGCAACGATATTGGTCTGTAATGTTCCACCGGTTCTTTAAGATCTTTTCTGTGGACGGGTGTAACATTCGCAGATTTCCACTCAGATGGAACATGACCAGTTTGCAAGGAACGGTTAAACAACTCACATATGCTTGGTGCAATTTCAAGGGCGCATACTTGTAACAGGCGAGCTGGAATGCCGTCGGGGCCACATGCTTTCGAGGTATCAAGGGCACGCAAAAATTGCGCAACTTCGTCTACATCGATTGTTATCTCCGAGATGTTCTCTTTGCTTTCCGTTCGAGGCGTAATTGAGAATTTAAAAGCACTCATCCGCAGCGCCGTCGTATCCGCGTTTGAATATCCCTTTCATAAGTTTTCTTTTTAAAGCTCAACAAACCTGTGCAGGATTGAGAGAGCCCAAATGAGATTAAACTTTTTTTTAATTTTAATATTTAAATTACATCTCTTAGACCTGTAAAAAATAACCAACAAATTTATAAGCAGGAAAATTAACTTGATGCAAATAATGCAATTTTTTACGAGAGTGTTTTACAGTATGCTTCCATTGGATGTTTTTCTTAATTAGGCGTCCAAGACGTGAATGGTAACTTTGTCATCAAGCTTCCTTCCTGGACTACCACGAAAGATAGATCTGGCATGAAAATTACTTACATACATGAAAGTAATAAATATCGAGATGAAATCATTATACCAGGACTTGTGACGGAAGATCTTAAACTTGTGGTATGGGAAAAGTTTCAAAATTGTTAGAACTAACGAAGGCCGCACTGCACCTTTTACTGAAAAATTAACAAGTTTAGTACGTAGAAACACGTGCTGAATTGATCCCTAAATACAAACTGTGAAATTCCACCGATGATGCGACAACCTAAAAATATAAACAACTTCGACGTTTCGAGCGAAGGCCATTCGCTCGGAAATTCGCCGTTACTATAACTTCCGGGGACAAGGGTGTCGAAGTTGTTTACATTTTAGTTGTTGCACGTTGCTTTGGGTGTTGCATTACTACACAAGTTTGCAGGTATTATTCGCTACCTACACAGCTAGCTTTCCCGAACGTTCTTGATTCCTAGAAAATAACTATGTATATCCATTCCACACCTACGTATAAGCTACATATACGACGAGCCTGGCAGATATACAGTTACGATTTATGGGACGAGTTTAACTTTTCGGCCAGTGTTCAGTTCGACGTTATTTGGACCCGACCCACACGGTCACTATCCAACACACTGTTACTCGATACGATAATTAAAACAATTATTGAATGAGGTTGAGCACGATAGGTTATCACGCCGAAGATTGTATTATCAACCGAAGCCTGAGGAAAGATGAAAGATTAAAGAGCGGCCAATTGTAGCAAGCTATGTTTGTGTTGTGACACAATTCCTCACTCCTTCGTCATTGGCATGACGTCATAGTGTTTAATACTATTTTCCATATTAACGTTATGACGTCACTCCTTGAATATTATGTCAAAACTTCATATTTGGTCAGTTGTTGAATTGATATAACGATTTCACATTTGGCGGTTAGCCAATCAGAAATCATGAATTCTTTCAAATAAATAATAATTAACAATTAGACAACGAGGCCGAGTTGTCTATGAGCGAATAGTCAACGAGGCGAAGCCGAGTTGACTATTTGCTCATAGACAACGAGGCCGAGTTGTCTAATTGTTTTGGTATAAACTTTAACATTAATTTACAAAGCTGCAAAAACAATACAAAAATACAAAAAAAAACATTATGAAACCATTAAAGATAAACAAATATTTTAGTGTTTGTTCGCGTAAAATGTTTTATAAAATTCAGTTTTAATTTTAAAATTTCATTGAGTGTGTTATTTTGTCCATTTTCTTACCCTTAAAAATTGCCATTCCATAATTTTGTTGCTTTTTTCGGGTTTTTTTAGTACAGAATTGTTCAACAGTCGTCCAAAGAATCATCAGACACTTCGGCAAAAGTGCAAAACGGGAATTTTCCGCCATTTTGAATTTTCTATTAGTAGGCTATCACTAATAGCCTACTAGTAGCGTAGCCAATCAGAAGGCACGATATGTGATAGCCTACTAGTAGGTTTATACTAATAGCTCATAGTAACCAAACCTAATTTATTTCAATTTTCCTTCAGTTTGTTTTTTTTCGTGAAAGCAACGAAGGTGTTGTTATTCGGTACAACGTTCCTGTCGAAATTCCTGTCAAACCTTCTTCAGATATATTCTACTGGAAAACTGGTGAATGGTCAACTTGCTCAAAAACATGTGCTGGAGGTATTAATACACTGACGTCACAATTATTATTAGTGATCTCAAGCCATCCGTGACCAATTACTATGCAGACAAGACACTCCCTTTTCCAGCTACTGTATAACCAGAAACTTAACTGCAAACTTTTTATATTTCATCAAGGTCCTCTAATATGATCGCCACGGATTTTATTGTTACCTACATGTAGCAAATGCACTAGCATTTGTCCAGCCCTAGTATGGGGATAAGTGATAATTTTGTTTATCTTGATGAAGGAATATCCACTCGAGATGTGACATGTTCCCGTAAAGATGACAATACTCGTGTTGGAATAGTAAACTGTCCTCAAGATAGAAAACCAGCTGGTGAACAAGTCTGCAATGCACAAGAATGTCCTCCAGAGTATGTTATAAAACTTTATTTAATAAAGAAATAGTCTGATTTCATCACGCCAACCTAATATTTGCTGATTTAAGTGAAAGTAACATTGAAATCTTGTTGTAGACATTTTTACACTCTCCTTCGCAGAATCACCTTTATTATAGCTATATTACAAAGAACTGACATAAAGTTTCCGAAGGGAGCAAGCGGAGATTGATGGGAAGATTGAAAGAAATGCTTTTCGCTCTTTTGGATCGGATCGGAGTGATAAGAAGATTGAAAGAAATGCTTGTTACTTCTCACTTTTTCTATTAGTCTCAGCGGGTTTAGATATATATGTCACGCTATTTTAGTCTTAAAGTTATTTTTAGTCTTCAACAGCGGACAATGCTGTCAGTGCTTGCAAAGAAAGAGGTCGAAAACCCTATCCATAAATTATCTCATTTAAATTCCTCTTGAACTAATGGGTTAGAGCCAGGGCCGGAACTACTGGGAGCGTGTGTGTATGGGGGGGAGGGGGTGTAACACCACCAAAGAAAAATTAAAAAGGGGGTACAACTTGCCCAGAGGGGGCCCCGGAATGCTGGAATTGCGGAACGTGTTAAATATTAAGGAATTTTCTGAAAAATTAAGGTCGAAAAAGATCTGAAAAAGTATCCATTATCTCAAACTAGTGTTTGGAAAAATTTTTGGGATGTTTTGTTTTCGGAGAAAAACCGCCCTCCCCCCATCGCCATAATTTTCAGGAAAATTTTTGTTTTCCGGAAGAGGGGGGAGGGTGAGGGCGAATGAAAGGGGGCCCAAATTTTTGAATTCACGTATCCCCCAACCTCATTTTAAATTTACCATAAAGAATTATAATTTCTGTAAGAGCCTCCATATATACCGTATATAATTTTATAATATAGCATTTGTAAATTGTGAACGCTGACTGGCTAAGAGCCGTGTTGATATAACTCGATGTCAATACAGAAACGTCGGAAAATTTCTTTCTTTATATAATTACTTTGTGCTCTATTATAAAACAGTTATATCAACTCGATATAACTGTTTCTTGTTTTCCCAATTTCCACGAGTGTTGATATAACTGTATAGGAACATGGAAAATGTTATGTACTATTAAAACATGGCAAGCTATAATAATTTGTTAAATGTTATGCTGTACTAAAACATGGCAAGATTTCAGGAGGATTTAATTAACTACATAAAAATCTTACAACTATTTTCTTCTGGGACACGCTACAGGAGCCATAACTTACATTTTTACGAATGCTAACTAACACCTCTGTTCTTGTTCCTTTTTCTATTTGTTTAAAGTTCATATGTCTTCAAAAAACAAATTTTGTGTCTAAACCGTATGTTCAAACATTGATTTTATTTTCAGATGGCACTCGCACTTGACAGCTTGCACTAAGACATGTGGAAAAGGAACCCAAAGCAAGAAGATTGAATGTAGACGATTGACGACCGATCATTATTGTGTGGTTAATGACACAGAATGCACAGAGCCACGACCAACTGCAGGAGAACCTGGTTTAATTTATTGTAATGAAATTGCATGTCCACCAGTGTATAAGCCTGAACCATGGTCAAAAGTAAGTAAAGTCAATCATATAGGGAAACAAAATATGATTTGCGAACTCGACCGTCGGAAAGTTCTATGTTGAACTTCATGTAAACTTGTCCACGTTGAAGACTATGGAGTAAATCACCCAAATAATTCATCCGAAATATTAATATTGAAATATAATTAAGATACTCATTAATAATTCATAAACCTTAATTGTGGCGAAACATATCAGCCATTAATAATAATAATAATATGTCACGAGGAGTGACTTTATATCTGATAAAACACATGCATGCATGCATGCATGTGGCATTATATAATGGATGATTCCGGCTACAGGAGAACAAAGTCCGTCACCACAGCTAGAAAGAGCATGTTAAAATTAGTAAAATTGCAAAGTTTGGTTGCGAAATGTTGTACTGTGAAATGAGGAAAATAGAGCCCTGCGAAATTTGCAAATTTTGTATTAATTTGTATTATAATAATAATAATTTATTCAAATACATGACCAAATTACAGGTATTGCTAGAATATATATATATATATATATTTATATATATATATATATATATATATATATATATATATATAGTTTTTCGTTTTACCTCAAAAAACCACAACAGTCTGTTTCATCCGTATAGGAATCATCAGGTGGACCACCTGATGATTCCTATACGGATGAAACAGACTGTTGTGGTTTTTTGAGGTAAAACGAAAAACTATATATATATATATATATATATATATATATATATATATATATATATATATATATATATATATATATATATATATTATTATATATATATTATTATATATATATTAATATATATATATTAATATATATTAATATATATATATATATATATTAATATATATATATATATATATTAATATATATATATATATATATATTAATATATATATATATATATATATTAATATATATATATATATATATATATATATATATATATATATATATATATATATATATATATATATATATATATATATATATATATATATATATGTTATAACGACAGTAGTAGAGTCGAAACATTGGAATTACCACCATGCATGTAACGAACACATTGGATGGCCGACATTTACTGTCAGTGTGTTGTTGTACAGAGGTCACTGTATTGTCTTCTATAAATTTTATACAATAGTGTCTTTTTTAATAACTTGTATCTTGAGTGACAAAAACGTTATTTTTCAAGGCAGTTTTTTCTTAACATTTCTCCCCGAATTGTCTGCTAGCTTGAAAAGGATTTTTACGTATTTACAATTAAATGTCTAACAATACTTTTTTCATCTACATTACCATGAATAGTAGTATATCTAGAATTTAACGAATTTGTAAAAAAAGCATTAATGACATTACTGTTTTGAAAAGTTGAGGCGGCTGAATGTATGTATATAATATTCCAGGGCCTCTTTTAATACCATAGACGGGGGGGGGGGGACTTGTCCCCCCTTCTGTCTAAAATATAAGCAAAAAAAGGGAGTAATAACGTAGTTAAGAAGAGTGTTTTAGGATTCCCATGACCAAATCTTTGTCTAGCGGATGAAATATATGAATAAATGTGTCTAAAAATGCCGAAAATCAAGCTCCAGACACTTAAAAATACAAAAAATGTTCTGGAGGAGAACCCCTAGACACCCCGATAAGTTCCCACTTTTCCCGTTCACAACAACCGTGTTCGGTCTCTTTTTCTCGATCACCCCTGCACTGGCAAATTCTTAAAAAAGAGGCCCTGTAATATTCCATTTTACAAATCACTGGTGGGATATTTGACCTTGGATTTTACTAATTTATTCAAGTTCTTTTCTACAATTCAGGCACTGTAGTTTCCACATTCCATTTTTCTTATGTTTTCCACGTTGCCATTTAATTATTCATTTTTTACTTGCGACGAAATGTCGCCATTCCCTTCAAATGTATTCCATAAATAACGAACTCCTCGACTTTATCTTGGGGGTTCTTCGGTTTCGTGAAATAAATTCTTTCTCCGTTGATTCCCAAGAAAAAATTATTACAAAGATCTTCTTGTATCATCTCGAAAACATAATCACCGATATATGTGAGAGGGAATTTGTATCTTTCCAGAGTGAATAACAAATGTTGATGAGTGTCGTTCTCTTCTTTGTATTTCGATATTTTCCCAGCAACGTTATGGAGTGTTATTACTTCATCTGTATAATATTCACCAATGAACCTCTCCGGATTAGAAACGGGAGTTCTTTGCTGCAAGAAACAAGGCAACTTTAGCCTAGACCTAGGTCCTTCTATTTATATTTCAACGCTTTTCGCATGAAAATATTGGAACCTAGGCAATTTGTGGGCGGGGCGAATGAAGGCCGACATTCCGTGACGTCATATAGTCGATTAACCTTTAAACCAACTGCCACATTCCACAGGCTACGTTTATTACCGTCATGGTATAGAGACAGGACCGGAAATTACACAGAAAAATCGGGCCATGTCGCTGAAATATGGCAATGAATATTGCATGTGGGCTCAGTCAAGAATTTTCGCGCGTTTTTGTTTTGCTTTACTTTGACATATTGTTAACAGAATGGATCAAATTGTAAGTTAAAAGTGTTCTGAATTATGCTCAAGTCACATAATATTGTTTTTGGGCCTTTAGCATTTTCTTAACCTCCATAATTCTACCAAAACTTATACGATTATATCTTGAAATAATTTAGTAGTTCGCCTCGTTTGTAGTCAGTACACGTCAGCAGCATGCACAATCTACGCATGCTCAATTCGCATCATCGTGTGGCATGAAGAGAAAAACATTTCCCGCCGTCTACGAATAACTAAATTTTGAAGGGAAACTGGCACTCTGTGCAGTTACTATTTTTATGTAGTAGAAAAATGCTATATCATACTAAAGGGGTATATGGCAATAAAAATTAATAGAACTTTGATAGAACTTCGATTATATGCAAAACTATGTTTTTGATTTTTCATGTCTTGCTTAGTTCTTGAAATATTTTGGCTGAAAATAACGGGCTGTCCGCCATCTTGGATGAAATTGATCATTTTGTAATATATATTTTTAGGGAACTTTCAATTTTAAAATTATCGTGTTACCATGACAACTATATTAAATACTTCATGTTCGAAAAATATAATGGTTTTGTCAGCAAGACGAGGGTTTCAGCATGCATGCATGTATATTTTCTAGTAAGTTTGCAATAATACAGTATTATTCAACTTACCGTGTTTTGCGGCAGCTTTGCAAGCTCCGTGTGAAATAAGTCATACAATTTGGGTATCTTCTGTTGTATATTACCGAATGCTTGGTCATATGTGGAGAAAACGTTGACAGCTAAATTAACAGAACTTGGATATAACATTGACTGAGTATAATCTAATGAGTAGAAAGGTGTTAAACAGTAATAAAATATTGGATGATCGGAAAACTGGATTTGTCGAGAACGTCCATGCAACCGACATGTGAAGAATTGAGGTGGATGCCCCACATCAATAAAATCTAGAGACAAAATAGAGAAAACGTGCATGGCTTTCATGCACGATTTTCAGAGAAAATTCATAGGCGTATGTGCTGGGGGGCACAGGCCTCCCCAAAATTTTTACGGTCCGGCAGAAATCCATGCGTGATTCGGGCAAAACATAAAAAATTTGGAAAAATTATGTTATGCCTTGAAAAATTTTTGGTATGTCCGGAAAATTTTGGTATGTTTGCGAAAATTACGGTATCTAGTACGGAAAAAAATGTTCGGTGACCTCCCCCCCGCTCGCCAAAAATTTTGGGGAGAAATATTAATTAGCGACAGTCGGGCAAACTGATACTGTGCCCCACCCCCCAAACAAGATTAATAGGCCCGTACGCCCATGAGAGAAATTCGTGGCAACTCACTTAACACATGTACAGTTTTGATTGTAGTGCCAAACTCTGCCTATATTTACGAAATTTCTTGGAGCATTTCATTTTCGTTTAAAGAAATACTGAACTTACAGTATATGGTACTGGCCATGCTGAAGAAAACGAGATCGCGTGGCCACTGATTGAGGTACTGGGTAAAAGTAAATTGTTTTAAAATACGTATACTGACATGTTGCGAGCGACGTAAAATGCTTTGTCACAGAATAGGAAGTTATACCAGAAGCGTAACTCTAGTCGTTTCCCTTATTGTTTGACGTCCACGAAAATTTTAACTCGCTCACGTCAGGCCACGCCATCCTGGCTAGTACAGCCGGAAGTTTTTATCAGGATTTGGTAGGTACAAAGTGCCGGTTGTACTAGCCAGGATGGCGTGATTGATGACGAATCGCTTGTAAAAACGCGGACAAATATTTGCTCGAGTTACGCTTCTGGTATAACTTCCTATTCTGTGGCTTTGTCTAACAGGAGCTCGCGCGCACATTCGATCAGGAATCTGGTCTTTCCTGTTTTCCAGGGTGCACATGTGGGTCAAATCACTCAGTCAGCCAGATACCTTTGGCTGACAATTATGAATATATGCGGTTTGATTGAATAAAACTTACCTAGACGTAATTCAGGCACGAGATAAATATTGCTGTTGTAGCCATATACATATCCATTTTTATTGTAGGTCAAATATCCTTTGTGGAAGCCAATGTCCCAAGCATTTCCCAGCATTTTTTGCTTTCCATCTGGGAAAAAGTATGCTGAAAAAGAAACATTTAAAAGCGGTTTTATCGGCAAATCGTTTTCGTAATCAGCGAAAATATTTGAGTGGCTCGGATTAAAAAGTAATAGGTATAGCAAAATTTTTGACAAATTTTGAAAATATTACCGAAAAGATACATGGTCGGAATCATCTTTCACATTAAAATAGCCAGGATTAACGGGTGAAGTTATGCAAATATCAGTGCTTGCATTTATAATAGCGAGGTCCATCCCCTGTTAGTTTTGATCCATCCAATATTATTTTATCATAAATTTTATGGAAATTATCGATTAAAGCACTTCCAAATTTGCTTCAGTAGTATTTTATATATCATTACTAACAATTTAAGACCCACCAAGTCAATACAAGTCAATATCAGGTAAAGTGTTTTAAATTGTTAGCAATGTCTATACTACTCAAGGAAATTTTAAAGTGATTTAATCGATTTTCCATTAAATTTATTTCAAAATAGACAATATTGAATGGATCAGAGTATGGGCCCTCTGTGAACGTTCTGGACTAAACTGTAGTTTACTCATGTACACTTTCTCGAACCTGTAACATATTCTACTGGAACGAATCTGTGCCAGCTAGGCATGTCCCGATTGTGCTCGGCAACTTTTGAGCAACCTTTTGCGTTTGGAGCAACTTTTTTTGGTTCGAGCAACTTCAAGCAACTTTTTCGTTTTTGGGCAAATTTTTGAGCAACTTTTCACTAGAGTTCAAACTTTACAGTATGAAATGTTTACATGTGATAGACAACTTCATCACGAGCAAAGACCCTGGGGACGAGGTTGCTTCATTTTCTGTGATATTTTAAATTTTTTTTTATGACCTTTGTTTTGTTGTTTGTAAAACTTTTGTAAAGAAAACGTTTTCTCTTTATAATTCCAAACAATTTATCCGGGCCTATACGGAAATTGTATAAAGCTTTTAATTAACGTATGTCGTGAAGTTAACGTAAAAAGGCAAACTTTTTGAATTTTAGTAGCAACTTTTTTATTTCGGGCAACTTTTAAGCAACTTTTATGCTTAGAGAGCAACTTAGAAAGCAACTTTTTTGTTTTTGAGAACAACTTTTCGGGATTTCATGAGCACAATCGGGACATGCCTAGTGCCAGCGTAAGTAGCGACAAAAACAAAAATTGAGATGATCATCACGATAAAGCGCTTTGGGTGCTCTCTCAACTTCCCAAGTGCTCAATAACTCGATTGAGCACGCCTAATCATGAACAAAATAATATGCGATTTTATCAAAATACAAGTTTTTTTCCTGTGATGAAATTTCAATTTCTCCTAACGCAAAGCAAAATACCAAAACGTTTCTGGACCTTCTGGTTGGTCGCCAGAAAATCGGCTAATCGGACATTGCTAGGCTGCTAGGCTTGGCAGTTGCCACGGCAATAAAATGCAAGTAGGCTTGGGTATATTATGCTCGAAAATATGGCTATTTTTCTCGGAGGCAGTGCTCGTTAAAACAACCTACTATATTTGCTCGTTTTAATTAAACAGCCCATTATGCTCGTGAAACCGTCCATTATGCTCGAATTACGCTCGAGGAGAATTCAATTCCAATATGTACAAAAAGTCGCACATCTTTGGTTAACAACGCTCAAACATGCAAAAATGAGCCACACATAAGTACATAACACATGCAATTGAATCTACTAACTGGCAAGATAACAACTATAACAAGTTAACAGTGGTTATTATTATCATGACAAAATTACTGGATTCTGATTGGTTGAGAGGAGTACAATTATTTCATTAATTGTACTGCAGTACAATTAATGATTTTCCCAAAACAAACAAAATGGCGGAAAGGTATTTTAAACTGACACAAACTCGCCATCGCATGATTACCTATATACTAACAATTTGTGGTAACCATGCTTTCATAATTTCATTATGTGAATTTTTGTCCTCATGGCATTCATTCCCATGTTCCGCCATCTTTGTTTTATTAGTGCTCGGGACCCTGGCGGCCTACCCCGAACCAGTGAACTCTGGGCTCTGTCCCGAACTCCCTCTCTTTTAAATAGTTTTTTTCTAGACTCTAGCCCAAGACGGTTAAGGGTATATATTTATTTTGAATTTATTTTAATATTTATTTATCGGGATAGCATTCTTGATATTTTCTTGGTATCCACTTTCATAATACGATATTTGCACTTTTATAATATTTCAATTTTTGCCGCGTTTATACAGCTGTTTTGTTGTTATACCCTAGACTTTATATCATCGTCGTTTTAATAAGGATATTGAACAATTAGTCTTATTGTAATCATTAATACAATAAATTTGCATGTTGAACGACGACCTTTTTTGTTGAATATACAACTCCAGTTCGCAGTATAACTGTGATTAGTATTTTTGCACAAGTGAACATAACAAATCCTACACGTTCATTGGTCAAATTTGACGTAATAAGCAATGGCGGCTACCCGTTTTGTGGAAGTTTACTGACAAAGAAATAAGCGAAATTAAAATAAATTCAGTCTCAAAAAACACAAAAGCTTGTGTAAAAATACTTTTTCGTCTCGGCGAATATTCCCCGATAATCACCTCGCCTTCGGCGAATAATTGTTAATTATTTACCTGGTGTATAATATTCATCTAGAATTGCGGATTTCAGAAATCGAGTGTTACTGCTGTGGAACAACGCAATTTCTAACTGCAAAACAAAGAGAGATTTGAATTCCAGGGTTATCTTTTAAAATAATTCATGATTATCGGGGCAACTTTGCGGACTAATTACTTGATTTACATGAGTTACACATAGAGCGAATTCAAATAAGGTTGTCTTTCGAAAATCTCAAACTTTAATAAAGTGTATATGAAATGAAAATTTCAATATCGTTTTTTTTGCATTTTCTGAAAATTTGGTCTTTTCCGATCATAAAAATACAAACCTTGTTGAAAAATTCGAACCAGAAGTTTGTTAATTTTACGATTAAAGTTCGCTTTTTCGACTATCTACTGGCGAAAGACTGGTACCTAGAGTTCCGGGCCTTGTGACGTATGCAGTATGACACGCCGAAGTGTTTCACTATACGAAAACAACAAAATAACCCAAACATCAGACAGTTGCCTTTATATTTCGCTATAAAAAAGGCCGATAACGAAAGCTTTGAATCACAGACAGAGACAGAAGGGTCAACAGATAATGAGGACATCGCTGAGCAATCGTCTGTTGTTCAGCCATATCAATTTGAGCTGGTCGCATATAGTGACTACGAGGAAGACCAAACGGACGAAGACGGCATTCTTCATGAAACTCTTGAGGGGAGATTTAAGAAAAATGTAGCTGTTAATTCATGGTAAGTAAAGTTATAAAAGTAATGTTATATTAACCCGTTCCTCGACTATTTATTACCCTGTTTCGTCTGATATGCGAGTTTATTTTAAGGTGCTCATGTGGACATTGTAGCGACGAATTAATGAATTATTGCAGGACGCTAGAGAACATAGATGCTGTAAGGAAATTTTGGAGTGCATTGACAAATTTACGTTCGAGGACAAGGACGCATAATGCATCACACAGCACTGGGATTATGCAGATGGTTGAAAATGTTCTCGAGTGTGTATTTCATAATTTCCATACCCAGCGCAAGCAGAAAGATATTGTCTGCCGCGGCTGGGTCTTGAACCCGCTACCTTCGAATTACTATATCGACGCTCTACCAACTGAGCTACAAGGTCAGACGGATTTATATTAAGACTGTAAATTATGAACTATATACTGAATGTCATAAACATACTCGTTTATATTAATTTAGCATCGAACTATACTAGTTCTGCAAGTGTTATGTTAGCCTATATGTTGTGTTATTGACATTGTTCACTCCGTAATAAAATGATAGTCGTCACCCATCGAACAGTAGCCTACTATAGAGACGCAGGGGCTTTTCTCTGATATAAAGTCAGGGAAAAAGTATCATAAACCAACAAGCAGAACCAAAGATAATTAAATATCACTATTTCTTGTATGTATTTGTATTCTAAACGATATCTTGTATTCTTTGTTATACAGTATGTCTATAGGCCTAATTTATCTTTTTATATGTATATATTAGTATACTAATAGGTAATAATAGTGACTTGACTTAGCCATGGGTAGGTAGGCAAATCTTATATATATTCCGACCATACATAAGTAACTTCTTTAGTATTTGCAAACATGAAATTAACGACTCACTGTTTGATTATTTAGATATCTTCGAGCAGAAGCATATCGTTGGATAGTCGGATGATATTTGGCATGCTGGGATGGGAGAATTCCAGACCACTTCCAGCATGCATAGTAAATGAATAGAAACTGCACTGCTTTATAGGGTTAGATAGTACAGCTGCAAACAAAATTGCGTGCGAGTGCTGGTGTGAGTTTCGTCACGTCGGTAGACGCGCTATCAGCCTGTCGCGCAAAACATGCTCGCGTTTCTTGCCGAGGTTTTCTAGAGGTGAGATAAATACTAATCAAATTGAGGTCTATTTCGTGTACAAAAACACGCAACTACATGTAATAGATTCGCAATGTGAACTTAACGGTTGTGAGTGAACGCAAATTATATAATGAAGTAGAGCCCATCATTAGAAGCAGCTATATTAATTAAAGTCCTTCTACCCTATCGTATTTTACCATGCTATATATATATATATATATGCAATTCCAAATTTGTTTGTTTTGGAATGGTCCATACTCATGCTATGGCATGTCAGAAAAATGTAGATATTTAGTATTAATTTCCATGTTATGCTTACACTAGTTACTACAATGTTTGCCATAATTAATATCAGCTATAGCCTATCTACATAATATGCGATCTGAAACCTACAACGTAGACATAGTCTCTTGTCTCATCGAATTTGCATTTTCGGCCGCTTATACGCTACGACTCGTTATGTTGTAATTATATTGTATCTATAGATTGAAAGCGAAGTCTACAGAAAGTGGATTCGTTTCAATTTTCTTCAAAATCTCTCAAAAACACAATTCTACCCAGACGAAGTTATAATTTTCATAGTGTTTACATATCGAAAGATCGCACTGTGTCATACTGCATACGTCACTGGCCGCGCGATGGTATGTCAGGAATTTCGCCAGTAGATAGTCGAAAAAGCGAACTTTAATCGTAAAATTAACAAACTTCTGGTTTAGTCTAGGACCTGTATATGAGTTTGTATGCGATTCATTTAGGACAGGTAATCTCAACTGTTTTAGGGTAAAATGACCATGGCGGTCAACATGGCATATGTGCGAAAACCTGAATCCGGGACGAAAGTCCTGAAAATGACCCCGCCCTGAAACGGCAGTGTCGACATAGCTCTAACTTCCAAAAAGGAAAAGCGATAGCCTTTCTGAAGTGCTTATAGTGTTTAGAAGGGTTGCTTTTAGAGGTGGTCATTGGAAGGAAAAATTTGTCTGAGTATAATATTTTACCAGAAAATGACTATGCACCACCCCAGGTAAATTGCTGATTATCCACAAAATAACTAATATGCCTGGCAGAAATTAAATATTCTTATTTCCTAAAAAAAATTATCATGGGATGAAAAACTATGCTTAGTTCAATATAATATTGTAGATTTCATAAGGATTGTCATTGTTTTCTTTTAATATAGTACATTTTATTTCACTTACCCCCCACGAAAACACGCTTTCAGCCATATTTTGCCGTTTTGTTTGCTTTTTATCGCCGAGTCTCGCAAATATCATCCAGTCGTTGTACCCTTACATGATCATAAATGGCTAAAGAGTATTTCACCCAAGTTTCATGAAGTTTTGGAACTGTGCAGTGTATTTTATCTTCGATATTGTGTCCTTCGATATTTCGTCCAATTGCCGCCATTTTAATGGCTCGCCGCTTCTCTGCCCGATAAATGCCACTTCTTCGTTTTCATATGTATTTACATTACATTATCCAAGAGTACTTCCTTGTAGAATAGTACCAATTCAAAAATTGAAAATATTATTGGTACTTGGGAGGAAAAAACCTCCCATAATAGTTGTCCTGTTTGAATTCAAAAGAAATAATTTAAAAGTCACGCGCAAGATCGCGAAAACATCTCGTGGGTTACATAACAGGGGGGAGTGAATATTTTCACGAAACGTTTGTTCGCCACTACAGCAACCTAACTAAATGTATTATATTTTTTGTATTTTTATAATTGATACGCAAATATTTATTGCTTTTATCATAAATCACAAAGATACAATAAATATAATGTGCTTAGTTAGGTTGCTGACTGTTGCCTGTGGTGGCGAACAAACATTTCGTGAAAATATTCACTCCCCCCTGTTATGTAACCCACGAGGTGTTTTCGCGAACTTGCGCGTGACTTTTAAATTACTTCTTTTGAATTCAGGCAGGAGAACTATATGGGAGGTTTTTTCCTTCCAAATACAAATAATATTTCCAATTTTTGGATTGGGACTATTCTAACATGAAGTACTCTTGGATAATGTAATCTAAATACATATGAAAACGAAGAAGTGGCATTTATCGGGCAGAGAAGCGGCGAGCCATTAAAATGGCGGCAATTTAACGAAATATCGAAGGACACAATATCGAAGATAAAATACACTGCACTGTTACAAAAGTGGATGAAACCTTCTTTGAAATCTTCTTCAGCCATTTATAATTATGTAAAAGTACAATAACTGGATGATATTTGCGAGATTCGGCGATAAAAAGCAAACAAGACGGCAAAATATGGCTGAAATCGTGTTTTCGTGGGGGGTAAGTGAAATAAAATGTATTATATTCAGGGATGCCGGAAGATCGATAATAGCGGGTGCAGATATTCATATATATATATTCGTGTTCACAGACTGTAAAAACAATCGATATCAAAAGGAATTAATTGGGCAGAACAGGAATATATGAATATCTGCACCCCCAATTATCGATCTTCCGGCATCCCTGATTATATTTAAAGAAAACAATGACAATCCTTATGAAATCAACAATATTTATATTAAATTAAGCATAGTTTTTCACCCCATAATAATTTTTTTTAGGAAATAAGAATATTAAATTTCTGCCAGGCATATTAGTTTTTTTGTGCATAATCAGCAATTTACCTGGGGTGGTGCATAGTCATTTTCTGGTAAAATATTATACTTAGACAAATTTTTCCTTCAATGACCACCCCTAAAAGCAACCCTTCTAAACACTATAAGCACTTCAGAAAGACTATCGCTTTTTGTTTTCTGAAGTTAGAGCTATGTCGACACTGCCGTTTCAGGGCGGGGTCATTTTCAGGACTTTCGTCCCGGATTCAGCTTTTGGCACATATGCCATGTTGACCGCTATAGTGTTTCTGTTTGAGTTATTTTGTATTATATTATGACCATAATTGATATTAAGGGACCGATATGGATTTAGAGGATATAGGGGACAAAAGGGGGTAGAAAAAGAAACCTCGTGGAAAAAGGACGCTTGTGCATAGAATAGATTTTGGTGTGTGTATTTTAGACTAAATAGAAAAATAGAATATTATAACTGGCGACGAGGTAACGGAGTTATTAAACGCGTGTTAAAATGGCGAAAGTACTCGATCTACCAAAACTACAACCTTTTACCTTGGGGGAAACTTCGACCATTAGCCAACGGTGGCGAAAATGGATCAAGTCATTCGAATATTATATTGCTGCCTCGGGAATCAACGACAAGAAACAACAACGTGCCATCCTTCTCCACCTCGCAGGACCTGAAGTTGAAGACATTTTTGAAACCCTAGAAGACACTGGCAACGATCTCGACACCGCAATAACAAAGTTAACGTCCTACTTCGAGCCACAAAAGAACATTCCTTTCGAGCGTCACAATTTTCGACAGACAACACAACTACAAGGAGAAACAATCGAACAGTTAGCTATCCGTTTAAAACACCAAGTAAAATTCTGCGAATATGGCAACCCCAACGATATGATCCGTGACCAGATTATCGAACATTGTTCGTCTAGTCGTTTGAGGCGACGATTACTTCGCGAACCAGAACTTACTCTTGAGAAAACAGTCGAAATCGGTCGTTCGTTCGAAGCATCCGAACGGCAAGCCTCGCAAATAGAAGCAGACAGCTTAAAAACCACCGACCTGGGCGTAAATGCAATCCGTTCTAAAGCTGCATCAACACATTATCCAACAGATCTTACAAGGTCTTCCTGGTGTGCGAAACATATCCGACGACATCATTGTTTTCGGTAAAACCAAAGATGAACACGATCAAAACCTTAACAATGTCATCCAACGTCTACAAGAATCGAGTCTCACCCTGAACAAGAATAAGTGCTTTTTTGGTGTTAGCAACCTCACATTTTTCGGTCACGAAGTGTCAGCATCTGGGGTCAGGCCCGACACTAAGAAAGTTGAAGCTATCCGTGAAGCAAGAGTACCCACCAATGCAGCCGAAGTACGCAGTTTTTTGGGACTTGCCACCTACTGCTCGCGTTTCATCCCGAATTTTGCAGCTGTTGCCAACCCTCTCCGTCTACTTACTCGGAAAAGCACTCCGTGGCAATGGAATTCCATCCACCAAAACGCGTTCGACACCCTGAAGAATCTTCTTACTGGCAATACGGTTATGGCCCACCACGATCCCTCGGCTCCAACTCACCTCCGTGTTGATGCCAGCCCTGTAGGGCTCGGAGCCATGCTGACCCAAACCCAACATGGAATAACTAAGCCTATTGCCTATGCCAGTCGCACCCTATCAAATGTTGAACGTCGCTATTCCCAAACCGAAAAAGAAGCTCTCGCTGTAGTTTGGGGATGCGAGAAATTCCACCTATATCTGTATGGCACCGAGTTCACAATATATACCGACCACAAACCATTAGAAATTATATACAACCCCAAACGCAAACCCACCGGTCGAATTGAACGCTGGGCCCTCAGATTACAACCATATCATTTCAAGATCCAGTAGATTCCTGGTGCCGAGAACCCTGCTGATGTTCTATCCCGGTTACCAATCCCACACCAACCACATGTTGAACGGTCCATTGCCGACGAATATGTCAACTACATCGTTTCAAACAGCGTGCCAAAAGCCATGACACTAGAACAAATCGAGAAAACATCCCTCGCCGATCCTATACTGCAACGCATCCATACCTGCATTACATCCGGAACATGGCCAAAAGAACCAGATCTCAGACCATACATGCAAGTTAACAGCGAACTGTATGTCCAAAATGGCATCATCCTTCGTGGAACACGAATCGTCATTCCGTTTGACTTACAGAAACCTACATTAGAGCTCGCCCATCAAGGTCATCAGGGCATCGTGAAAACGAAGCAACTTCTCCGCCAAAAAGTTTGTTGGCCAGGAATAGACAAAGATGTTGATAAAATGATCAGTCAATGCCTTCCCTGCCAGGCTCAAGGGCCAAAAACCAATCCCGAACCTCTCCACATGTCGACGATGCCAACTAAACCCTGGCATGCCCTCCATATTGACCTCTGTGGTCCTTTTCCCACCGGCGAATCACTCCTAGTCTTAGTTGATGCATGTTCTCGTTGGCCCGCGGTCGAAATATTGAGTTCTACTACAGCCACTACCATTATCAATCGTTTAGAGAACATATTTTCCCAGTTTGGTTACCCTGAAGAAATGATATCAGACAACGGCCCTCAGTTTACTTCCCACGAGTTCAAATCATTCCTACACAGTTGTGGTATTAAACACCGCCTTATTACACCATACTGGCCTGCTGCGAGCCACTGTTGAATGATTCAACAAAACGTTAGGAAAAGCTGTCAAAGCTGCTCACGCGGAAGGTCGCAATTGGAAACAAGAACTGCCAACTA